AGTTCAGAAGAAACCCGGCACTCTCGAAGGCGTGCTGACGAGCCAGACCAGCGCCCAAACGCCACCGACTCAGCTCCGAGATGCGGCCGACGAGAGCCACCTGGGCAGAGTCGAACTCCGCCTCTGCGACGCCGTATCCGTAGAGGCTGGCGTCCGACGAGTAAACGAACGGCATCCAGTCGCGGTCCCAGCGAGCCTCGAGCATCACCATCAATCCCAAGAAACACTCCAGTTCCTCTCGAACAGTAGGCCAAAGGACTGAAAAGGTGTGATAGCTGCTCGTCACGAAAGCGTACACTGCGTGAAAGATAAACAGCAGCTCGCGCCGTACCAAGGCCATGAACGTCATGTGGCCCAGCACCATCTCAAGCTGCCACCCGGCAACCTTGCGCTGCCTGAGGAGACATCGCAGGCCCTTCCGCACGGCTGCGAACCTCTCGTCCGTAGGCCGCGTGCAGAGCCTTGCTCCATCCAGGTGGCAGCCCAGTGAACGACCACCTCCCACGTGAAGTTCAACCTCATGAAACTTGAGATGGTCACGATCAAAATCGGACTGGGCCTCGTAAAGGGCTGAGCGGACGGCGGTGTCTGACAAACCAAGGACGCCGGCGTTATCGACGTACATGAAGTGGCCGAGGTCCTCATTATGTGGCCCGCGGCGAAGGACAAGAGGCGGCCCTCGATCACTGAGCCGCAAGCTCCTTGCCAAGGACGGCTGCCGATCGAGCCGCGACTGGTTGGCCGCCTGCGCGAAGAAAAGCGACCATGAGAAGCCCATCGGCAAGCTCTGACTCATGGGCCACACCATCTCCGAGTCGCCAGCCGCCTGACCCTCGATGAGGGTCTCGCCTGTGGCAGAGGCTAACAGCGGCGGCCAGCAGAAGTAGCGCCGAATGTCGCCGTCCAGCTTCATCCGATGGAAGCAGTCGGCGACGTCGCCGACCCCCAGGACAACGCGCAGCTCGCTGAGGTCCCCCTCCTTGAGCACCGGCACCTCGACGCGGCCAAGCCCTTCACCTGACAGCAAGTCGACACCAGGCGGGGGACGAAAAAGGGCATTGCTGCGTCTACAGTCCACGATGAGGCGCAGGCGCTCACCATCCTTCTTTTTTACAAAAAAACATTCCAAGAACGCTCAAAGGTCGTCGGGTCAAAGTCACGAGCCCGATCTTGAGCGCCCGTCTCACGAACTTCGCGTAACTCCGAGGACGTTGGAGCAGCAGAGGGTCAGTATGACAACCAGGAAGTCCATGAAGCTCTCGTATTAGTGCCGCCTCACGAGGGGGAAGCAGCATCTTGGTGGAGTACTCCTCGAGAAAAATCCTCGCCTCCGCAGGTAGCATCTGGGCCAGACTGGAGGCGTCCAGGACGCTGTCCGGCAAGCTGACCCGCGAGTACTCGTAGGAGCCCATGCTGGTAGAGCCAAGAGGGGCGTAACCCGCCTTGCCCTTCAGAAGCTTGGCCAAAGCCTCCTTCTCTGTGATGGCGCTGTCAACGTCAATCCAGCGACGAGCCGCCGAGAAGACGCGCTGCTGCACATCGGCCCTGATGAGATCCATCTTACGCTGGCTAACGCTCCCCTCGGGCGCCGTGCCACCGCGATGCTCACCACCGTGCAAGTAATTCAAGCTCTTGCAGGCTGCGTTGCCATCTCGCAGCCAGCGGCGCCGCTGACCAGGCGTCAGGCCGTCGCACCAGTCGTCAGGGAGCGCCGCCAACGGGGCTATGGGCAGGCAGGCCGACCCACGGAGCCCCGAGCTGCCCTTCGTTCTGCGGGAGACGGTCGGGCACTCGCCCCCCTCGGCCTCGGGCGCCATGTGCCCGGCGGGCGGCGGCCACGGCCCCGCCCGCCTCGACCGCGGCCCCTGCCGGCCGCATCAGCTCCCTCAGCGCCGACCGCGGCGCCGCCGGCAGCTCCAGCGGCGGGCAGGCCGCCAGAGACAACGGCCGCGGCTGCCGCGCCCGCGCCGTCGGCTGGAGCAGCGCCGGGGACGCGGGACCGCATCCGCAGCGCCTCCAGCTCCTGCTCCTCCTTGGACAGTCGGCTGGCATAGCTGCGGAGCGCGTCGGGCACCAAGTCGAGCGGGTTGGTCGTGCCGCCCAGGTGCTTCGCCGCGCCCCAGTTCGCGTTCTCGGCCCCGTGCGCGTAGGCCTCCACGTACTGCAGCAGCCGCCGCGAGACCACCTCCAACGACGCCAGGGCGCCCATGTTGAGCTGGTCGTAGGTCCCCGCCAGGTACAGCACCTCGATCAAGGTCTGCACCTCGTGGTAGGCGCGATCCTTCCTGGTCACACCCTGCTCCTTGCACCACTCCTGAAACCACATCTTGGGCGTGCCACCGTGGCGATACATCTTACGACAAATCTCGAGGCAGGCGGGAGGCCCACGGATGCTCGAGTCCGAGAAGATCTCCTGTGTGCTCTCCTGCACGACCTTCCTCCACTCCTTGAACCTGGCCCCGGTCTCGTCGGTATCGATCCAGCAAGTGCGCAAGTCCTC